TAAGGAACAGAGCAGTCCAGTTTCAGTTTTGGACCCTCCATTTCAGGACGATGACGAAGACATTCACATGGATGACAATAACATTACTTCAAGCTTCAGATCTGTACAAAGTACGTTTTTTCGAACTACTCTTTTGTCTTAAATTTTCAATCTTTTTTCATTTAATTCGATCAGTACTTCCAACTATTGTTTCCTCTTAAATGGGTTTTGAAACTATTGATCTGTTGTACTGATTCGAAACAGAGGAACAGTAACATGTTCGTGCCCGAATAGTGTTTGTTGAAATGTCTCAATGATAACATTTACATGTTAGTGCACGCATAGTGTTTTGTTCAAGTGCCTTACTGACATTTATTGGTTATAAAATTTTGTGACTAGTTTTACATTTTGTGTATATTTCCTTTTGTGGTAAATCTCATGTCAATACGAAGCACACAAAATGTTTATATGCCTCTGTTTTCTGATAATGGTTTGGATCTTGATTTACAGAAGCAAAGCATCTGCTTCTACAGAAGCTTTGTAGATTCGAGCAACTCGCGGGTCTAGATCCCGTGGAACTCGAGGAAAGAATGTCAGATCAAGAAACCGCGGAAGAGGAAGACGAAGAGGAGATGAAATATCTTTATCATTGTGAGATTATAACTCGGAGAGTTCTTAAAACGTATTTTGAAGATATGAAGGAAGTTCCTGAAGGCATCGAAGCATTGATCTCAGACCTTGTAGCAGAGGAATTACAATACGACAGCGTTGTGCTTGATGTTGAAGCCGAAGAAGAAGCCGCCATTGTAGCCAAGAGGGTATGCGAGAGATTGGGATCTTGGAGAGATGTGGAATCGAACACAATCGATATGATGGTCGAACATGATTTCAGAACAGAGAGTTTGGGGTTATGGAGATCAAAGAACGACGCAGAAGTCGCGGATACCGTTTTGGATATCGAGTTTGAGATTTTTGTGGATTTGGTTGAAGAACTATCAGAAGACATTGGCGGAGGTTGGTAATCGGTTTTATCTTGGGGCTGGATGGCTTCCTTCACAAGTAATGACAAACTAACCTGCGTAATTTGGGAGGTGTATGTAAAAGTTTTGCTTGATGAGAGTATTAAGAGTTGTGTAATTCCTTAAGAGAACTGAGAAATTCATAGGATCAGTGAAGTTCTCAAAAACTCTCACCCGACCCTGATGGGTTCTCGAGTTGAGTCTGATTCACTAGTTGTAGTTAACAATCTTGCCTTTACATGTAGAGAAAATTTGGATCGAAGTTTACAACTTTACCAAACAAATCTGACTTAACCTTAGTACCTTACATGAATCATTAGTTATGATGATCTATTGTGGTGGTGGTGGTAAATCCATAATCAATGTGTTTTGAAGGATCAAGAAAAATACATTGGACTGTATGGCCCATAAGGCCCAAGAACTATAAATCTAATATAATTCCTCCTTGTTAAATTTTTGTCATTGGTTAACACAATACCCACAGATATTTACAAAGTCTCTTAACTTTGCTTTGTACTGCATGATTACCACTTGTGACATTTTTGCCTAAAAGAGAAGACGTCTTATATTGCTCTTTCAAACATTTAATATAATTAATTAGTCAAAAAGTACTTCTAATCAACTATAGTTCTCATGTTTAAAATACTACATAATCTTTCTGAAAAAGACATCTCCACTATTATTTTCCTCTTCCGTCTTTTACACATCTGTTAATTTTAACCCTTTTTTTCTTAATGAAAACTCAGAGAATCGAGTTCAGTCCGAATATGCACATCAAGGTCAAAAGGGTCATTTCAATAACTTGAATTGCAATGATAATTTACTTTTAAATTTAGTAATCATCACCAAACTTTATTCTTACAAGTGACTGAAATTTGCGGTGGATGTAAAGGTATAGCCTCTCTTTTTTTTTTTTGTTTAAACTCTATTGTATATGTAGTAGCATTCTATCTATTAGATGATCTTAATGTTTGATGAATATATTTCTCAACGGTTTGTTATGTGATTGTAATTGTATATTATTACATGTAACTACATATTTCCGGATAATAATAAAATAAATAT